ACGAGGCCTAGCCAAGCGGGATCAGTAACCATATCTGCAGCTTTAAACCTTCTCCACAAATTAAAATAGTTGGATTTGGCCGAAATATGTTTGAATTGTTACCTTGTTTCGTTTTGTCGCTGTGTGTACATCTGACTACACTTCTTAACGTTATGACAGGACAGACCGACTGTCAACAACGTCTGACCGTGGCCGTGACGTCTCATTGACTAGGGTTAGAGTAGCTTCCCTTTGACAAAGGGCAGTTACTCTAGCGGCCAGACCGATGGATTGCCGCGAAAGGCAATTAAAAACAATTGTTGTTTTGCGTATATGTTGCTTCGCCACTGTATAAGAAACAGATTTCAGTTGGAACTATATTGGTTTCTGTCACTGTCCGACTGACACATCACTTACCCTGTGACGTAATAAATATTAATGCGCGCATTCCAGGAAAACTCGCAATGTTTCGGTAATGTTTGTGAGAGAGGGAAAGCGATTTTGAAGCACAGAATTAAAGAATGACATTATATGATAAAGAGGTTATCACGCTTGTGTGTTTGGGGATGGTAAATATCCTGTATTAGGAATAAACACTATGTATTTAGCTCGCCAAGGCTCGCTAAATACAATGTTTATTCCTAATGCAGGATATTTACCATCCCCAAACACACTCGCGTGATAACCTCTATTTATTTTGTATTTACGTTGTAATTATTACTTAGCAGATAACATAGGAAAAAATGCTTATGTTTCATCGAGACCAATCCAAGCAACCAGGAAAGAATTATTAAACGTTGGACTGTAAACCTGTTGTCATGTTGCTATTTGTGTATTTCCACATCAGACCTCTCAAAGCACTATTCTACAGCTATGAAAAACTCGATCAGAAGTGAAAGAGTGACTACGCTGTTCCCTTGACAACAACCTAGGGGTATGTGTTTACTTATTCAATAGTCTGTGAATACGAATATAACACCGATGCAATTATGTTCTCTAACACAAAGCTGACCACACTTAAACAGCCAGTTTACGTGAAAAAATACATGCAAAGATCAATATAACCCAACCATCAAAACGTAAGATATTGACAAGGAACAGCATTAATTAGTATTCCCAAATGTCTTCAGTTCGTTCCTTGTCAACAGAAATTTCATGTCGTCATGTTGACTTGAGGGTTTGCACAAATTAAACATTCATCCTTGGCAGGTGCGTTGAGCCCAAATACCCCCAGGGGAGGAGGGGACTGAAGTTAGCTGCGGGAAAAACGAAAAACAAGCCAGCACCAGGTTCGTTGTTCAAAGGGTGAGTGAGTGAGTGAGTTGGGTTTAACACCCTTTTAACAGTATTCCAGTTATATTGCGGCGTGTCAGCTTGATTTGGGAGGAAAGCCCGAAGTGATACAGGTCTCAGACGTTTACCACCTCTGTGAAACCCACGAGCAGGGGTGTGGTGCTGACAAACCTAGAAACATAATCGGGGCGAGCCTGGATTCGAACCCACAATCATAGGTTTCTGGCGTGCCCAAGTGACGCAACTGCATAGCAAATCGCGGCGCCTTAGACGACTGGGCCTCCCGTGCCCCCGGTGATTAGAAAGAGAAATGCATTATGTGAGACAGAATAAGTTCAAAAATTCATATATTTTAGCAAGTTTTTTTATTTGGGTTTGGTTTGTTGTAAGAGGCGACCAACAGTGTCTGGTGGTCAGGCATGCTGCCTTGATTGGTGAACTTTATCGATCCCAAGCACGTGGATCGATGCTCATGATGTCAGTCATTGGATTGTCTGGTCCAGACTCGATTACTTACAGACCACCGTCATATAGCTTGAATATTGCTGAGTGTGGTGTTAAACAAGAAACAAACAACAAACAAATTATTTCTCGCATTGTGATACCATGTTTATCGGTTTGGTTTATCGCATTAATAACACTATCCATCATTTGATAAATATTATCAAAAAGCTATCATAAAAACTTTCAACAAAAATACTCTTTACTTTATTTTTGTCCGAAAAATATCTAAATGGATGTCTTGCCTGAAAATATATATGTATACCTGATCAGGTGAGCTGAACACAGTGGGGTCTTAAATGCCTTCATAACTGAAATACTGTTGACTTTACTTATCTTTAGTGACACCTGTCGGTAAATGTCATGTTCGTGACATGACGCACTCAACACCATTGTCAACTGAAGAATTTAGTCAATAACATGGCGACAGAGTCTCGTTCATCAAACTTAAAATGTCATATATAAACATTTATGTCAGGATCAATAGGTACAGAGAATAGGGTGCAACACTATCAACATGCAAATTCTTAAATGACTTTAAATAAATTTAAGTTTAGTAAGAACCTGTCACACCATAAATCTATTCAATGATAAATCCTTTAAGCGTTTTATCCTTTAAGCGAGCCTGACTACGGGATACCGTTAGTTGCCTCTTACCACAAGCACAGTCAGCTTTTACGGCAAGCTGGGGTTGCTAAAGACCTATTCTACCCGGGATCTTCATGGGTCCTGTACAATTAGCAGCTCTACAGCTCATTTTACCGAGGTAACTAGATTGATAAATCAAGTTCCGTCACAGCAGACAATCCTGATGGTGAAATGTATCAGTAATCGGCATTAGGCTTTCCAGTCACTTGGAAATGCTCATTAAACATTCTTAAAGTTTGATCTGTATGACGCAACCGGCTGTACATGTTGAAATTGCACCAAAGATAATTTACCTAATCCATGATAAGTTCAACAGAGAAGATGAAGGGTAAGCATTAAACAATGATAGGTTTAACAGAAGATAAATGGGTATGCAACGCTCCCACACCAAATTTCACAACACAGTTATTCTTCGACATAACACTCCTCGATGTACCAAATTTGACAATACAGTAATTCCTCGAATAACGCAACTTGATGTGCAACTCGCCCAGATGCAATGCGGAGTAACCCTTGGCTCCCAAAATTTCATAAAGAATTTCCCTAAACATCTGTTAATGTAAGTAAATAAACTGATGAGATTTAATTCCCAGTCGCATGTTTCTGTATTTGTAAAACAATTACATTTGTGACACATTGTACCTGGCTGCATGTGATCGTAACCATTCTGTATTTTGCTCCGGTTGTGAAACATATAATGTGTACAGATCTGGCATTATACTCACATAAAATATAATCACACCAACAAGAAACTGTAGCTGCATTGTTCGATTTAATACTCATCTCAGCTTGTTGTGATTGTGATGAATAAGGTAACCATGAAATGTCTTTTGAACTTCAAGTCGACCAAGTGTAATGCAATAACAACAGAAACAATGGCTTCTGGTATGTAATCCGGAGTGGAGTAACCGTGAGAAGCCTAAAAATACCCATTGAAACTTCATTGTTTACATAGCATAATTACAAGGGGTATATAATAAATCTTAATTTGTAGTCTTTGCCATTTCAAACATGGCAACCACTACAAGCAAATCTAAGAGAAATGTACAGTGTATCTCTCATCCACTCAAAAATGCGTTAGTGTTTGTTTCATTTTCAAAAATTGTTCAAATAACGGTGTTGTGTAAATTTTACACGTACATGTACAAAAGGTGCATACATGAGCCGGCCGTGTCCTGGTTTTTCATGACACTGAAACATCATCAAATATTAACCAATCACAGTTTTGGTCTCACAATCGTTCGGTTACAAGGCTCGGCGTTTGATAATGCGAGGTCGGCAAATGGACGTTTATTTCAAGAAACCAGAATATAACAACAGTTTGCTTCCATACATATAACCTCCAGTCGTAAAATAATACTATGATTCATTTACACTTATCATTATTGATGTAATTTCGCATACATTTTGAATCCACGTCTACGATCAAGGTTACATAGATCTACATTCATGTACATGTCACTGTGAAATAATTACGCTCCATTCACTACCATCACAGTGATGTGTTGCCATTCACTACCATCAAAGTGATGTGTTGCCATTCACTACCATCACAGTGATGTGTTGCCATTCACTACCATCACAGTGATGTGTTGCCATTCACTACCATCAAAGTGATGTGTTGCCATTCACTACCATCACAGTGATGTGTTGCCATTCACTACCATCACAGTGATGTGTTGCCATTCACTACCATCACAGTGATGTGTTGCCATTCACTACCATCACAGTGATGTGTTGCCATTCACTACCATCACAGTGATGTGTTGATCATCAGCAATTTCAGTATTTCCTAGAACGCAGGGTCCGGATCTTGGACCATGTTGGCAGTGGTATATCAAGTAATCACTGTAATACATGCAGTTTGTTTGTTTGTTGTTTAGCGCTGCACTCAGCAATATTCCAGCTATATGACGGCCGTCTGTAATTAATCGAGTCTGCACCAGATCATGAGCATCCATCCACGCAATTGGGATATGATGACATGCATCAACCAAGTCAGCAAGCCTGACCACCTGATCCCGTTAGTCGCCTCTTACGACAAGCATAGTCGCCTTTTACGGCAAGTATAGGTTGCTGAAGACCAATTGTACCCCAGATCTTCAAGGGTTGAGTAATCACCGTAATACAATCAGTTTGTTTGTTTGTTTAACGCCGCACACAGCAATATTCCACCTATACGACAGCAGTCTGTAAATAATCGAGTCCAGACCAGACAATCCAGTGATTCCATTGATCTACGGAATTGGGATATGATGACATGCATCAACCAAGTCAGCGAGCGGCAAGCATGGATTGTTGAAGACCTATTCTAACCCATATCTTCACAGGTGGCAATTCGAGCAGGAAAGGGCAGAGTAATATAGATTTTCGATATGTCTACCACGGTGGCAATGTTTAAAATCTGATTGGAACTCTGTGAGCAGATTTAAGAGACACCATATCTTGGATTAGCCATGACAAGTTACAGAACCGTGGTGTCAAAGGGTATGCTGAACTCACTAATGGACGACGGACAATGCGCCAGGACATTTAAGTCAGGGGAGCCAGAAAGGAATCAAAACAAGACAGGAGAATCATCATCATTCACTTTCTTATTCAATTAATAAAACATTTTTTCTACAATCCTCAAATTAAAATACAGATATTGCACACAAATGTCACATTCATCCTTTTTGTAGAAAATTCGACTTCAACACTTGATCACACACCTCTAACAAATTTGCATTCAATCATGTACATAATGCAAAAAGGCACATAATTACTTTTGCAAATTGAGAGTGTGGGAGTGAATATTGTTTTACTCCTCGGTCTGCAATATTCCAGTCATAGTGTGAGCCAGATAAACCAGTGATTAATAGCATGAGAAGGTGTCACACTGTTGGAATATGATGGCACACTATCACCCAGGTCACACATTTGTCCGCTCAAGCCTTGGTCCTTGGTAGCTACTCCGCAATTTAGAACACTTGACAACAACTAACACAGATGTCCTACACCAGGCAGTGTGGTAACAACATTTGAGCAGACACTTGGATCACGGCAGAACATTCAGGGGTCTGTATTCCTCTCATGCGTCACAGCTTCAGGCTGTACACTGCATCAGTGCATGAGTGAGTTGGGTTTAATGCCGCTTCGAATAGTATTTCAGACCTGAAGTGATGCAGGTCTCAGATGTTGGCCTTTTTGGTGAAACCCACAAGCATTGGTTTGGTACTGACGAATCTAGACACATCATCAGGACGAACCAGGATTCTGACACACCAATTATGCAACTCTCATGAAGGGCAGACTCTGAACCTGTTGTGAGGAAGATAGCATCCTTCATGAGACGAAGATTCATGGTGGTGGGTCCCAAATGTCGACCATTTTGTCCACTGGATCCAGAATTCTGACTGCAATGCTATTTGAATCACACTGGGGGGTTTTGAACTTGTATCACAGAAGACTGTCCTGTGTTTCTCCAATTTTGACAGAACAGAATACAATCCACATTGATGAGTAGCCACAGAAACAGGTAAGGTGAGGTGAAATGGGGTTAAACGTCGCGTCCAAGATTATTGCACTTATATAGCGACCTGCATGTATGTGTGTGTGTTTGTGTGGCTGCTTGTACAAGTCCGGACTGATGCTGAATTATAGTGCTAGGTCACCGAGAAACCATGCTGCAGTTTAACATGAATACCCCACTCAGACACAGTATACTGACTCCGAGCCGACCAGTCCTGTTTTAGCCCCTTAATACCGAGCGGTAACAACAAGTACCATCTTTTAACGTCTTTTGGTATGATGCGGCCGGGAATCGAACCCCGGACTTTCCACTCTCCGGGCGGACACTCTACCACTAGACCACGGAGGCGGTCTAGCCACAGAAACAGAACACAGATCCCCTGTAAGTCACGTGTCAAGACAGAGCCACTCTTCCTTGTTTCCATGACAACACAAGCCAGTAAACCAATGATCTCACTACTCATTCACTGCACATTGCAGGAGATGCTTCACGACTTCCCCTGGTCATATCACAGTCGAGGTGCAGAGGCTATACTTGTCTAGCAACAGCAGCACGAGGAACACCAGGCTCTCAGCTGAAGAAGTAGACTGACTTCAACACACTCCGCAGATCAAATGTACCTGAAAGTTCAGAAATAACAATCAAAGAATTTTATCATGACAGCTGTGCTAGTTGTTAAATTAAAACTACGAACACAATGCCATTTATTAAGTGGTTAAATGTAACAAATGTTAAATTTTTCTCAGGAAAGTACAGATTCTCATACTTTTTTTTTGGGGGGGGGGGGGGGGGGGGGAAATAATCGCCAGAGTGAGGCACCTAATCACCAGCACACAAAGTCAGCGATCTAACCGACTCAGTCATCCATGCTTTCAAAAATGAAAGTACGACAACTGGTAGTCAAGATCACATACTTTGTGTACCCCTCTGACAAGTATATATTGGCAACACTCCCATGGCCGAAAGCTATGAACACACAATGCCATTTTTTTGGGGGGTGGGGGACAACCAGCTGTCAGACTTTCATTTTTGAAAGCATCGATGGCTGAGTGGGTTAGATCGCTGACTTTGTATGCTGGTGATTATAGGTGCCTCACTCTGGTGAATCTCCGGACCCCGGACAGACTCAACCAATAAAAATAAAAAATACAAGAATCTGTACTTAGCTAAGAAAGTATTATCCAAATATAACATTTGTTAAATTTAAAACTACATTATACATGGTACTAAACCAGAGGACTTGATATAAGCACTAGCGTCACTCTTACCTCGTGATGGGACCTCAGCCAAAACCGAGTTAAGGAATGTCTCGGCAATTTCAGGTTCACAATCTGATCCACCATCCCTGGAAGCAAAGGAAGAAACACCCATGAATCTGTAACCCCATCCATTAGTCGAGGAACGTTACATGTCACCAGTCAAACAATTGTACCGTGATGTTCATCATCACTAAACCTCACTACCTGTCTAAAACCTGGATCCTTGTCAGCACTACACCTTCAAAGTACTTAAGTAATCCTCTCCTGGTACTCTCATTGGCTTCTTCATTATAATGTTATCTTAATCCTATCACATCGGCTGCGATATTATACTGTTATTTTTGTACATTAATGCTATCCCATCAGCTTCGTCATTATAATGTTATCTTAATCCTATCCCACCGGCTGTGATATTATACTGTTATTTTTGTACATTAATGCTATCCCATCAGCTTCGTCATTATAATGTTATCTTAATCCTTTCACATCGGCTGTGATATTATACTGTTATTTTTGTACATTAATGCTATCCCATCAGCTTCGTCATTATAATGTAATCTTAATCCTATCACATCGGCTGTGATATTATACTGTTATTTTTGTACATTAATGCTATCCCATCAGCTTCGTCATTATAATGTTATCTTAATCCTATCCCACCGGCTGTGATATTATACTGTTATTTTTGTACATTAATGCTATCCCATCAGCTTCGTCATTATAATGTTATCTTAATCCTATCACATCGGCTGTGATATTATACTGTTATTTTTGTACATTAATGCTATCCCATCAGCTTCGTCATTATAATGTTATCTTAATCCTATCACATCGGCTGTGATATTATACTGTTATCTGAATCCTATCCCACCGGCTGTGATATTATACTGTTATTTTTGTACATTAATGCTATCCAATCAGCTTCGTCATTATAATGTTATCTTAATCCTATCCCACCGGCTGCGATATTATACTGTTATTTTTGTACATTAATGCTATCCCATCAGCTTCGTCATTATAATGTTATCTTAATCCTATCACATCGGCTGTGATATTATACTGTTATCTGAATCCTATCCCACCGGCTGTGATATTATACTGTTATTTTTGTACATTAATGCTATCCCATCAGCTTCGTCATTATAATGTTATCTTAATCCTATCCCACCGGCTGTGATATTATACTGTTATTTTTGTACATTAATGCTATCCCATCAGCTTCGTCATTATAATGTAATCTTAATCCTATCCCATCGGCTGTGATATTATACTGTTATTTTTGTACATTAATGCTATCCCATCAGCTTCGTCATTATAATGTTATCTTAATCCTATCACATCGGCTGTGATATTATACTGTTATTTTTGTACATTAATGCTATCCCATCAGCTTCGTCATTATAATGTTATCTTAATCCTATCCCACCGGCTGTGATATTATACTGTTATTTTTGTACATTAATGCTATCCAATCAGCTTCGTCATTATAATGTTATCTTAATCCTATCCCACCGGCTGCGATATTATACTGTTATTTTTGTACATTAATGCTATCCCATCAGCTTCGTCATTATAATGTTATCTTAATCCTATCACATCGGCTGTGATATTATACTGTTATCTGAATCCTATCCCACCGGCTGTGATATTATACTGTTATTTTTGTACATTAATGCTATCCAATCAGCTTCGTCATTATAATGTTATCTTAATCCTATCCCACCGGCTGTGATATTATACTGTTATTTTTGTACATTAATGCTATCCCATCAGCTTCGTCATTATAATGTAATCTTAATCCTATCACATCGGCTGTGATATTATACTGTTATTTTTGTACATTAATGCTATCCCATCAGCTTCGTCATTATAATGTTATCTTAATCCTATCACATCGGCTGTGATATTATACTGTTATTTTTGTACATTAATGCTATCCCATCAGCTTCGTCATTATAATGTTATCTTAATCCTATCCCACCGGCTGTGATATTATACTGTTATTTTTGTACATTAATGCTATCCCATCAGCTTCGTCATTATAATGTTATCTTAATCCTATCACATCGGCTGTGATATTATACTGTTATTTTTGTACATTAATGCTATCCCATCAGCTTCGTCATTATAATGTTATCTTAATCCTATCACATCGGCTGTGATATTATACTGTTATCTGAATCCTATCCCACCGGGTGTGATATTATACTGTTATTTTTGTACATTAATGCTATCCAATCAGCTTCGTCATTATAATGTTATCTTAATCCTATCCCACCGGCTGCGATATTATACTGTTATTTTTGTACATTAATGCTATCTCATCAGCTTCGTCGTTTTAATGTTATCTTAATCTTATCCCATCGGCTGTGATATTATACTGTTATTTTTGTACATTAATGCTATCCCATCGGCTTCGACATAATATTGTGATTTTTGTACATTAATGCTATCCCATTGGCTTTGTCATTAAATTGTTATCTTTGAACATTAATACTATGTCACTGGCTTTGGCATTCTACATTCATCCCAGCTTGTGTTGTGTAAACATCTTGATTAATATATTTATATACAGTATCCTTTGTACTCACTAGGCATTCACCTAGTGAAGGAGCAAGAAAATAAAAGAAGTTCCTATCCATAAAAAAGTGTCATGTATACATGTAGTCATATATACTTCTAAATGGCTGTCAAAGACTTCATACTGTCAGTTTGTCCAGGTGTCCATCTGGGAACAGGCCTCAAAGTTGCGACTAAATGCAACCTAAATTTCAATTAGTCTACTGTCTTAAATTCATAGGTAGCCAAATGACTGCCTTGAAAAGTATCTTGTGGCAACTAAATTCTATTGCTTCACATAGGTAAACACAACATGTGTGCTGCTCACTGTCCTCACAAATAATTCCTCCTAAAGTCAACAATGAACCGAAATACATAAATATTACCGTATTCGACGTAATAAGCGCCCTGCTCTAATAAGCGCCCACGGCGATATTTGCTAATATATTGGCTAGTGAACAATCTCAATTGGCACCCCTTCCGATTGATTAATGTACACAAGACTTATTTATTTGTGTATAATACGCACTCGTATGTTATATGCACCCTTAATTATGGGCAATTAAATTCTGGAAAAATATATCTGTCGTATATAAACATTTCAGGCTGTAAGCATAAACCACGACATTTACGATCTTTCAACTCAAAATAATGTTCTAATAAGAGCCCCCTATTTCTAATTTTGAGAGCGCCCTGGGCGCTTATCACGTCGAATACGGTAATGTAATTAGTATTTTATTTTAGTTGATAATTTATTGGATAAGCAAGGAAAAAAACCTATGTAATCATGTAACATAAATTGCATCATTGTTTGAGTCACAAATAACAAAACTCAAGTACAGTTCCAAGACTAGTGCTATGCCTTGTATACATATTATAATAGTTATTTGATAAAAGATAATTTCAAATGCTTTTGGCTACCTACAACACTGACTTGACTTCTTGATTTTACCACTGGCTACCTGGAAGACAATACTTGTGGCCATATGGCTACTTAGTAAAAATTTAAACTTTGAGGCCTGGGCGGACGTGTTGCCACAGGTGGTAAAGGTACCGGTACTCACCTGCTGAACATGTGGAGGAGATACTGACACATGTGGTAGGGGTACCGGTACTCACCTGCTGAACATGTGGAGGAGATACTGACACAGGTGGTAAAGGTACCGGTGCTCACCTGCTGAACATCTGGAGGAGATACTGACACAGGTGGTAAAGGTACCGGTACTCACCTGCAGAACATGTGGAGGAGATGCTGACACAGGTGGTAAAGGTACCGGTACTCACCTGCTGAACGTGTGGAGGAGATACTGACACAGATGGTAAAGGTACCGGTACTCACCTGCTGAACATCTGGAGGAGATACTGTCACAGGTGGTAAAGGTATCGGTACTCACCTGCTGAACATCTGGAGGAGATACTGACACAGATCCTCAAGGACAGGCTGTTCATGAAGTGCCACAAACTGCTCTCTGCATATCTGAACAGTCAAGCATCAGTGAATTCATAAAAGTGAGTGAGTGAGTTATATTTAAAGTCACATCGGCAATATTGCAGCCATATCGTGACTATCAAGGCTTTATGATTATAAATACAATTATACTTATATAAAAACCTGCCAACGAGAATTCATAAAAGCCGGGTTGATAAGCACCATAAGCAACTCAACTACATAGCTCAGGCATCACAACATCTTCACAGTAGGAAAATAACTCAAATGTTTGTCTATCTTTGCTGTTTGTTTGTTGTTTAACTCCGGACTCAGCAATATTCCAGCTATATGACGGTCTATCTTTGCTGATAAAAGAATAAAAATATGATAAATCTGACCAATCTTGAAGTGACAGGCTACAGATATAAGTAACAAAATTATGAGTACCATCATAAAAAAACATCTAATGTAATTTGGTTTCCATATAGATCTACACCGGTCTGACAAACCGGTCAGGCAAACCAGTGATTGTTATAGTGAGCCACGTCTCACAACCTCTGTCAGAGTACAAGGACACACAGTCATGTTAGTACAAACATATGGCTTGTTGGGGACCTTTTCTAAACCGGAATCCAAACGGGAACAGATATATTAGAGAGGCATTGTAGCTAATTACGACTCATATCTTGGGCCCCATATCTTCATCGCAGCGCTGTTTATATAGCTACTGTACGATTTCGTAGCGAGCACTGGAACTTACTCGTTCAGCTTTCGATCACCATTTTATTCTCTCTCATTGTCAAACCAAGTATCATATGAAATTTATTTATTACTACATTTAGTATACATAATACAGATCAATATCGATAAATATAATTCTGTAGTATGGTAGCCTACGTGGCAACATATGGAGCTCGAAAACCGAACGAATATGGTTGCTATCAATTCCATTGTATTTTTCATTGGTGCACATTGGCTACACCTATCTCACCTTAAAAATCAACAAACGATGACCAACTCACTGACAATATATGGTGATATTTAACTTTTGACTATCGACTAGCTTATCATCACCAGAGAGGACAATACCGCAAACACCCCGTTATAGCGCGCGACGAGAGACACGTTTCTCTTTTGCTCGTTTTCATTAGAAGGGCGTCGGACATAGATCTAGTTATCGGAAAATGATGAATTGATTCTTTTTTGGAAATATTGAAAGTACACATGATAAGCGCCTTGCTAAAATAAACTTTATAGACAGCACCAACAACCAGATGATCCACATTTAGGTTACTTCAGTCAGTGCTAATTAGGCCTTTTCGGAAACAACAAGTATGTTTCTGTCTCGTCCCGAAAATACAATTTTTCATAACATTGAGCGCTTTAGACTAGGGCTATAACTAGCAGCCTACAGAGAGTCGATCTGAAAATACTTCCATTGTTTTGATTCCCTCTCTTCGCTGTATAAGAGAAATCTACTCAACCTTTCCCATGGCCCGAATGAGCCACATTGTTTCACAAAAATCAAAGTCAGAAGATTAGTACATGTAAACTTTAAACAGTAATGATTTTAGAAATAACAAGGAAGAAATGGCGATAACTGTCAGTGGTCAGTAGGCGATGCATAAGTTAGGCCTTACATTTACTTAAGCATTGACTGTGTATTTGTTTCGGTTCATTGAGGTATGAATCGAAAAACCAATGTGCAAACTTTTGTAAGAATCCGCTACGCGGATTCATACAGTTTGCACATTGGTTTTTCGATTCATACCTCAATGAACCGAAAACAATACACAGTCAATGCTTATAATTAAATTCGACAACATAAAACATGTTTTATCTACAATAGTTTAACCAAAAACAGTTGTATATATCAAAACAGACAAAAATGACGACATTGATAAACATTCCAGGTGTTGGAATACATACTGTGGCGTGCATGAATCAGGTGATTGCTTAATTTATGCACATAAATTGACACGCCTACACTGTCAGTAGCCAATCAACGGAGAGCAGGATCAAAACAATGTTCATTGGACCTGTCAGTTAAGACAAGTGGCGAAAAGAACTGCAACAGTCAGACTGTAACGAACCGGAAGAAATATGTCCGGGAGATTTTTTTTAAGGCGGCTGTTTCAAATTACATGGTCAGTTACCGCCAGATTCAAACATTACTTCCCTGATTACGGTAAAACACAGTTGGAAAAATGCTAGTTAGAAAGGAAACCCGAAGTCATGAAAGTTGAACCGAGACGAGCAGAAACAAAAACAGGCGAGCGAGCCTGCACGTTTGCTGTTTGATTCATTCTCGGCCTTCGGTTTCAAAGGTTTGTTTGGACAATGCATATGCATGAGAGTCGCTAAAAGTCCTGTGCATGACGATACACGTGAGCAGAAAGGGATCCCTCGGCTGTAATATTGGGATTCCCCGACATTCCGAAGTAATAAAAGTAGTGCGCCTCGGTGGGCGTGGCTTAATTTTTTACATTCATTCGGAAATGAATGCAATAACACGTGACCAATTCAGCTAATCAGAATACAGGAATTTCAATGAACACAACGAAAATTTAATTATTAGTCTGTGAATACGAATATAACACCGATGCAATTATGTTCTCTAACACAAAGCTGACCACACTTAAACAGCCAGTTTACGTGAAAAAATACATGCAAAGATCAATATAACCCAACCATCAAAACGTAAGATATTGACAAGGAACAGCATTAATTAGTATTCCCAAATGTCTTCAGTTCGTTCCTTGTCAACAGAAATTTCATGTCGTCATGTTGACTTGAGGGTTTGCACAAATTAAACATTCATCCTTGGCAGGTGCGTTGAGCCCAAATACCCCCAGGGGAGGAGGGGACTGAAGTTAGCTGCGGGAAAAACGAAAAACAAGCCAGCACCAGGTTCGTTGTTCAAAGGGTGAGTGAGTGAGTGAGTTGGGTTTAACACCCTTTTAACAGTATTCCAGTTATATTGCGGCGTGTCAGCTTGATGTGGGAGGAAAGCCCGAAGTGATACAGGTCTCAGACGTTTACCACCTCTGTGAAACCCACGAGCAGGGGTGTGGTGCTGACAAACCTAGAAACATAATCGGGGCGAGCCTGGATTCGAACCCACAATCATAGGTTTCTGGCGTGCCCAAGTGACGCAACTGCATAGCAAATCGCGGCGCCTTAGACGACTGGGCCTCCCGTGCCCCCGGTGATTAGAAAGAGAAATGCATTATGTGAGACAGAATAAGTTCAAAAATTCATATATTTTAGCAAGTTTTTTTATTTGGGTTTGGTTTGTTGTAAGAGGCGACCAACAGTGTCTGGTGGTCAGGCATGCTGCCTTGATTGGTGAACTTTATCGATCCCAAGCACGTGGATCGATGCTCATGATGTCAGTCATTGGATTGTCTGGTCCAGACTCGATTACTTACAGACCACCGTCATATAGCTTGAATATTGCTGAGTGTGGTGTTAAACAAGAAACAAACAACAAACAAATTATTTCTCGCATTGTGATACCATGTTTATCGGTTTGGTTTATCGCATTAATAACACTATCCATCATTTGATAAATATTATCAAAAAGCTATCATAAAAACTTTCAACAAAAATACTCTTTACTTTATTTTTGTCCGAAAAATATCTAAATGGATGTCTTGCCTGAAAATATATATGTATACCTGATCAGGTGAGCTGAACACAGTGGGGTCTTAAATGCCTTCATAACTGAAATACTGTTGACTTTACTTATCTTTAGTGACACCTGTCGGTAAATGTCATGTTCGTGACATGACGCACTCAACACCATTGTCAACTGAAGAATTTAGTCAATAACATGGCGACAGAGTCTCGTTCATCAAACTTAAAATGTCATATATAAACATTTATGTCAGGATCAATAGGTACAGAGAAAAGGGTGCAACACTATCAACATGCAAATTCTTAAATGACTTTAAATAAATTTAAGTTTAGTAAGAACCTGTCACACCATAAATCTATTCAATGATAAATCCTTTAAGCGTTTTATCCTTTAAGCGAGCCTGACTACGGGATACCGTTAGTTGCCTCTTACCACAAGCACAGTCAGCTTTTACGGCAAGCTGGGGTTGCTAAAGACCTATTCTACCCGGGATCTTCATGGGTCCTGTACAATTAGCAGCTCTACAGCTCATTTTACCGAGGTAACTAGATTGATAAATCAAGTTCCGTCACAGCAGACAATCCTGATGGTGAAATGTATCAGTAATCGGCATTAGGCTTTCCAGTCACTTGGAAATGCTCATTAAACATTCTTAAAGTTTGATCTGTATGACGCAACCGGCTGTACATGTTGAAATTGCACCAAAGATAATTTACCCAATCCATGATAAGTTCAACAGAGAAGATGAAGGGTAAGCATTAAACAATGATAGGTTTAACAGAAGATAAATGAGTATGCAACGCTCCCACACCAAATTTCACAACACAGTTATTCTTCGACATAACACTCCTCGATGTACCAAATTTGACGATACAGTAATTCCTCGAATAACGCAACTTGATGTGCAACTCGCCCAGATGCAATGCGGAGTAACCCTTGGCTCCCAAAATTTCATAAAGAATTTCCCTAAACATCTGTTAATGTAAGTAAATAAACTGATGAGATTTAATTCCCAGTCGCATGTTTCTGTATTTGTAAAACAATTACATTTGTGACACATTGTACCTGGCTGCATGTGATCGTAACCATTCTGTATTTTGCTCCGGTTGTGAAACATATAATGTGTACAGATCTGGCATTATACTCACATAAAATATAATCACACCAACAAGAAACTGTAGCTGCATTGTTCGATTTAATACTCATCTCAGCTTGTTGTGATTGTGATGAGTAAGGTAACCATGAAATGTCTTTTGAACTTCAAGTCGACCAAGTGTAATGCAATAACAACAGAAACAATGGCTCCTGGTATGTAATCCGGAGTGGAGTAACCGTGAGAAGCCTAAAAATACCCATTGAAACTTCATTGTTTACATAGCATAATTACAAGGGGTATATAATAAATCTTAATTTGTAGTCTTTGCCCGCAGTTGCA